CTTCAGCGTGGTGCTGTTTTATTTCTAGCTCTTGGCCTAAAGAAAAGGACACAGGTGGGGTCAGAGAAGCAGCTCTGTGAAGCTACCTAGCTGTGTGTCGCTCTCCTGACCCATCGCAGATGCCAGCGAGTCATTTTTCCAGGCCTCCCCCTCCATGCCTAACCTCACCCAGATCAGGGGCTTGGTACCAGCAGAGCTCTTCATGGGGCTCCTGCGGCCTTTGCAGGGAGGGGGGTGACACTTGTGAAAGGGCCAGAGGCCACATCGGGCAGGGGAAGGCAGTTTTTTGCCATTTCTGCTGGATACGTCTATGCCAGCAGAGCTTGTCTGTGGATGTGAGCGTTCAAACCTGAGAGTGTTGAACTGGGTGGATGGTAGATTAAGCCGAGATTGAAACAGCCTCTGCTTTGCTGCTCCTTTCTCAGCACTCCCAGGATGAACTTGATGTGTGGTGGATTCTGCCTGTAATACGAACTTACTCAAACCTGTGCTGAGCGTGTGTGGCAGCCCCCCCTCATCTTTTTGAGCCCTGTGAGATGCTGGCTCACAGAGATTGTAGCCCCTCTCTGGAAGACCTTTCAGTTTAACAGCAGGCAGCCAAGGACGACTTCATCCTGCTGGCATGATATCTGCTCATTCTGCTCCTCCAGACAATCCCAAATGAGAGGTCCCAGCTCACCCTCCTCGCATGGCGAGCTGCTTCCCAGAGCGGAACAAGACTCACGTCTGGAGTGGTAGGGTGTTGTTTCTTCTGCAAACTGTCCCAACTGACCCCTCGCTGCCTGGGGGTGAGGGTGGGCGATTGTCCCTGCTGTGGAGCAGCTGTAACATCTGCCGGTGCAGTTTTTAGCTTGCAAGGTGGCTGGGCTTCCTGCTTAGAGAAATAACTTCCCCTCATCCTCATCTGTGCGGTGATGGGTTGTGACCACAGACAGAGCTGGGGATGTCGTTGCTGTTTCTCTACCTGTGCCATGCCACTTCTGCCCCTTACACCATCAGGGCCTTGGGGAATTGAGAGGGGCAGGCTGTGATTACACTGAATCAGGGCAGATGGAGAGGGGCTTTCTAATCCCCCTGCAGCAGAACTGGGCTGCATCTGCTGTTTCATGACAGCAGGGCGCAGTTCGTGCCTTCCCTAGCAGGTACCCTTGTGACTCTGAGCTGGGCTGGATCAGGCCACCCTCTCCTGCTGTGCACTGGAGAGCTGTGGAAAATGTTGCTGGGTTTTGAATGGATGGAGTCGTCTGACCCGAGGGCAGTTTGTGAGCTCCGGGCTCTTAATGGCTGTCAGTGGCGTAGGGTGCAATCTGATCCAAATGGGAAGCTGGCTGAAATCCCAGCAAGCTGTTGTTACTGTGTGAGGCATCTTATGAAATGAGATGGGTTTGGCGAACTCCCCCCCGCCGGGCACCCCACTAGTAGGAGAAATACCCTGTAAGTGAAGCTACGAGCCGGGGCTTCCCCAAGCAGAGCTCTTTGAGGCATGGTTCGCTGTCTCTCCCTTTACGGCGCTTGTAGTCTTGTGCGTTAGATCAAAGTTCCCTCCCTGCGGAGCTACTCGTGCTTTCTGCTCTCAGCACAGCCTCCCCGACTCCGTGCTCCCCTTCGGACTGTGTGTTCCCACTTCCCAGGCGTGTGATGCAGAGTAGACGTCTCCAAACTGCTCAAGAGGCTGTTTCTTTTCTTTGCCTTAAAAAGTGCTCTGCTCCTCTTTGAAAACTGCCTCAGCTGCTTTCTTAGGGTTTGACCTCTGGAGTTGCTCTATTGCGTTTTTCTGAGCATGTCTAGAGGATCATTCTGTGGCTGTATTTATCCTCTTCATTGGATCTCCATAGCAGGGACTGATTTTAATGCCTAAAAGCACAACCCCATCTGTCTTGTGCCTCTGGGGCATAGTAAAGAGCCCTGTCCTGCAACTGCTGAGCCTGTGAGTGATCTCGCTTGCAGAAATGTTTTCATTTTCCACCAGACCTGCCTATGGCAGAATGACGAGACTGCAGGTTTTAATTCCTTTTCCTAAGTGGCCGCACTAGACCTTCAGACTTCTGTTTTTCCAAGTGAAACTTGTTCCTCTTCGTTGGCCCTGATGCTCAGCAGTTAGATTTTGGGTTTGAAGAGGACAAAGTTTCTCACTACAGGATTGATTCGTTTATGCATTGAGGTGTCAGCAGGTTGCAATGCAACTCTACCTGGCACCCCTTGGCGGGTGACACTTGGGTGGCCTTGTCCGAACGGTCGGTGGGACACCCTCTCCTGGGGGCACACAAGGAAGAGAAGGTAAATTTGTCACTGTAAGGACTGTTCCAGCCTTCCAGCATCTTGACTGCAGCCTGGTAAATGAACAGCATGAGAGTTAACCCCCGGGGATGTCCCTCCTCTGCCCTCTCGCTGGGTGAGTCCTAATGATAGCTGGGCAGAGGGCTTGAAGGTAAAACCATTTTTTCTTGCCCTCTGACCAGTCGGGAATGTTTTTCGTGCTGCCTTGGTGTTCTCTGGGAGGTAAATCACAGTCGCAGTAGAGGGTGGTGTGTTTGTCCCTGGAGGCCCCTATCTCCCAGTGACCTTCTCAGCTCATGAAGACAGCTTGGCTTTGCTGTAAAGCAGCTCATGTGACAGTGGTAATCCGCAGCCAGTAAACAGCTGTGCAGGAAGATTGCAGGGGAATCGCCCTATTTTCCCCGCGCTGCAGACCCTGGCAGGCCAGCACACAGGAGCAGGATGGTGGCTACTGCTTGCTGAGGGAGGCTGCTCTCTCTTTGGCCTCGTGAGTCCATCGACAGGTTGGGCTGTTGGAAGCCACCCCAGCCACCGCCGCAAAGCGCGCTCGCCAACTCGGCAGCGCACACGTGCGTCCGTGAGTCGACGTGAAGCTGCGAAACAGGTTCCATGAAGAAGGAAAAAAAAAAAGGCAGTTTCTCCTGAAGTGGTTCCCTCTGAATCTTTTCCAAACCCAGGGCTGGCATTTCTAAGCCTGAATTTGACTTGTTCCTCCCACCCCACATATCCTTTGGATTATTTTATTCCTTGATGTTTACAAATTTCTCTGAGTAGAGCTTTCTTCTGGGTTGTGTGGACCTGCTTCTGCTCCAGGGACGCATGGGCACTGGTGGACTTATTTGTCATCTGCCCATAGAAACTTAAAGTGTCCCCTGGAGAAGACACAACCTCTGAGAAGGGAAGGACTGAGAGGGCACTAGCTTGGAATTGGTTTGAAATTAATGGTGGTGTTATTGGTTATTCCCATACCCATCTTACAGATCGTACCAAACTTCCCCTCCCTATGGGCTTGCCTCCTTCTTGCCACAGAACTTCCTCTTCTTCATTTCCCCCCCATGATTTTAATCATCCAAACCCCAAGCGTGTCCAAAGGGAAGCCCAGTGAAGGGGGACTGGTGCTGAGGAGCCGCAGGAGCTGATGACAGCTGAAGCAGGCCGTCTCCGACCGAGATCCAGGCTTGTGCAGCCAGAGGTTCCTGCACCATGCAGGCAGCAGCACCCACAGGCTGCCAGCAATTTGCCTCAGTTCCCTCCAAGAAGGAGGTGCCTTTGATCAGTTAGGCAGCAGTTGCTTTGTACCCATGTAATCCCTTGGTTTTTCAACCATCTCTGCCAGAAACCACCAGCAGCGTGCTTGTGGCTTCAATAAGTTGTCCACCAGTGGCCTGAGACAATCCCTCATTTCACGTCAGCTACAGAACAGCCTTCAGAAGTGGCCATCTGTTACCGCTGGCCTATGACAGATTTGAATGCGAGACCTCACAGTGAAAGGCTCTCTGCTATTCCCCTGAGCCGGCTGATCTCTTCCCTTCCACCCCTTCCCATCAGAAAAAAAAACCAAAACGCTTTGTACTCCCAAGCATTAGGGGACTCTAATTGGTGTGTGCACGACAGGACCACTGCATTTAAATGGTGAACATATAGCTAATGGAAGCTCAGTTTTATTGCTGGCATATATATAGTATGTTCAACTCCTTTGAAGTCACAGGGATCAGCAGCCAGGGGTGCTTATGTTCAATTATACACCATCAGTGAATTTGGCCCATGGTTGTTTCCTGTTGCTCTAACCCGCAGATGCGTTACGATGTCCTTGGCCAAATCTTCTCAGAGGTTCCTGGTACATTTTATTTGCAAAAAAAGGATCCCAGTCGCACTTCCAAATAGGAGTTAAGTGTTCAGAGGTTTGAAGTCCCGTGGCAAATTAACAAGACCTGGGCTTGGCTGGTTTTTAGGCTTTCTGCTAGTTCTCTGCTCTCAGAGATGGGCTTTCTGGCTCCTGGTCCGGATGGACTGTGGTCCATTCCCACAGCCCCTGAGCGGGACTCCGGTCTGCATCATCCACAGCAGACACAGAGCAGAAAGGATTCTCCAGCCACCGCAGCTTCTGCGTAATGCACATGAGCCAGCAGTGTGCCCGGGTGGCCCAGAAGGCCAATGGCATCCTGGCTTGTGTCAGCACTGGCGTGGCCAGCAGGGACAGGGAAGGGATCTGAGCCCTGGGCTGGGCACTGGGGAGGCCGCCCCTCGCTGAGTGGGTTCAGTGTTGGGCCCCTCACCCCAAAAAGGCCATTGAATGACTCGAGCGTGGGCAGAGAAGGGCAACGGAGCTGGGGCAGGGTCTGGAGCACAGGTCTGCTGGGGAGCGGCTGGGGGAACTGGGGGGGTTCAGTCTGGAGAAGAGGAGGCTGAGGGGAGACCTCCTGGCCCTCTGCAACTCCCTGCCAGGAGGGGGCAGAGAGGGGGGATGAGTCTCTGGAGCCAAGGACCCAGCGCCAGGCCCCGAGGGAATGGCCTCAAGCTGCCCAGGGCAGGGTCAGGCTGGCTCTGAGGAAGGATTTCTGTGCAGAAGGGGCTGTTGGGCGTTGGAATGGGCTGCCCAGG